CCCCCCGTTAATATAACCCCAACTAGTTATTATTTTCCATTGCTGAATGAACAAGATGGCTGCATAAATACAGGAATTTGCTGGACAGAGGTGTCAATTAAATAAGAAATGAAGCTTATCTACGAGACTAACTTCACCAAATGGTCTGATATCTGGAAAACGCCTTCCACTCACTGTCTACTTCATTTAATGACTAATTTCATCGTTGTCTGTACTATCCACTTTAGGCGGCCAGATATTTGAATTTATTGCGGTTTTAATCTTTTCAGACCCCTCTGATTACTCAATCTTTGACGTCTACATTTCCTATTAGTTAGCGCTACCGGTGAATGTCTTTTATGGAATTTGAGGGATTTATATCTTATATCGTTTTCAACTGTAAAAGAGTGGGCTTTGGCTCATGGTCCCTTAACTAACGACACAATACCACCCAGCCCAGCTTCCAAAAAAGATAGTGCACAAGTCAAGGTCAGTATTGTGTAAGAGTCGACCTATATACCAATCTTACAAAGAAATTGAATAGTAAATACAAACAAACTAGCGAAAAGCAAACATATCCAAATAGCCTGGTCTCTGACAAAGAAAGGGCAAGAAATGAGCAAATAATTAACATAAAAGGAATTATTTTAAGATGCCATAGCCAAGGAGCAGGACTCAATATCAGTGAGGATGTCTTTGAGCAATTCCAGGACCTTCTGTATACAAACCACGGAAGTGGAAGCCCAATACTGTTTCAATGTGGCATTTCTTCCAGTGGCAGAGGAAAGGGTGAATTTTTCTCGAAAGACAAAGTTGACACAGACGACAAGTTCACCGCCGTCCAGAAAGATGTGAAGTGCACTGTCAGGTGATAGAGGGGGGTAGAAGCAGGACTGTGAAAGATGAACACGATGAGTTTGAGGCTTTAGCCAAGCTTAAAAACGCCTTGTGGGGGGGGGGGATTTTACCTGTTCTTGGTTAAGAAAGAACTAAGCCACCAAACCCGTTGACTATGAGGAGCTATAAGTAGGCTAGCCAACAGGTAATGGTTCATTAACACATAAACTAACGTAAGCGCGCAGTGGACCCAGGAGGAAGTAAGATGTGAAGAAAGTAACCATTGTGAAAAAATGGATTATTGCCCCATTAATAACTCTTAATTAACCCATACACTAATCGTCCTTATAAGGATCTTATTACATTTTCATTCTATCCTGACTCGTCCATAAAATGCTCCGTAATAAATCTTTATTTAGACCACACCTCCTACACAAGCAAGTGGGGAATGCAACAGCACATGGACAGGTAATTTTTTTTAGCAATAATTACATTCTGCTTTCTGCTTTTAAACAACTTAGAAAAGAGTTAACGATCAACAGTAAAGATAGCTGTATCCGCGTGGCCACTAAAGAACAAGGACCTGGGGACGAAGCAAATGAAAGCAATAAAGTAGAAATGAATTATTAATCCCAACTCACCCGTGTAGTGAATTTTTCAAAGCCTGGAACAGCCCTATTGGCAGGTGGAAAAAGAAGCGCATCGAGCGCTCCTTGGACACATCGCCTCAATTCCAATAGGGATGTCTCATTACAAACTCCTACGGCCTGATAAACCCAATTCCAACAGTCCTGAAGCTGCTGCAGCTTGAAGGGTGTACCATAACCCTCATGAATGTACGCCGTAAAGATATGACCAGAATGGGGCTTGCTAACCTTGACAATCGCCTCGTAGACTGAATCCCCCTCGAGAGACAAACTAGCAGACAATGAATTGCATTTGGACGCGAGGGAAAGTCGTTGGGAGTTAATTCCCAACAGAAGGTCCTTACACTGTTCGAGACGATGCTCAATATCTTCGCATACCCTGGAAATCTGGTAAAGAGGTAACCTAATTCCTGAACACTAAACATAATAGCAACAACCAAGAATTGTGACTTGTAAATTGCATAACCTTTATTGGTAAGACATATAAACGGTTATGAACAAATAGTACAGGCAAATAGAAATGTAAAATGCTTCACTGTACAAACAAGCGTGATCGAGAAAATTTATAAAATACGTGAGGAGATGAGTTTAGAAAGCTCCTTCATTGTTCCTCAATATCCTCGTATTGGGATAAGTCGAAGGTGAGAACACGACTGACTAGACAATTGTTCTCCTAAAATGGAGGAAAAATACAAGATAATAAGTAGGGGCCTTAACTATGAACACAGAAGTGGCGTCGCCACCCGGACCAGCCTCTTTCAAATTAATCGCCTAAAGAAAGCAGAATCCATTCAAATATTTTTGACCATGAAAGCTTTAGTGACAAGCTCAACTCGAGTTGTGTAGAAAACTTTGCAATCAAAGCCGAAAGCATCAAATCCCTCATTCCCTCCCCTTTGGTAAACCTGTGCTGGAAGACATACGTATTGCTTAAACAGTGTTTGCGAGCAAATTGAGTGTATAAAGTAGTATTTGAAGAGGTGATAACGATGAATCAATTGGCAAGGACTTTTAGACTACGTAAGCTGACCCAGATGAAAGATGACAAGGAATATAACATAAAAAAAGATTCAGCCGGATACAACAAATCGACAAAGAAATTCACAATGTTGCTAGATGTTTGCTTTTTCACGATCATTAAAAAATTCCACGAAATACAGAGTGGAGATAAAATAGACTTCCTGGAGAAATTCTACCCTTTAGATCAAAAAGGAACTCAGGACTACAGACAGGCACATCGAACTCCACGATAGGGAATTATTGAATTCGTTTGTGCTGATACTAATGTATAAGAAATTGAAAGATATATAATTGCATTTACAATACATATACTTGGTGGCCTACTGAAATAGTCCTTTTATTTCAGCACGACACCGAGTGACACATGAACGCCCTCCAACAAAAGATTCGGTGGCAAAGAGACCTACAAATTGGCTCATACAGAAATCTCGAAAATATCATAACATCAGTCTTAACTCTGATTAGGATAAAAACGTATTTTATAAACTAACTGCGACAAAATGTGAAGTTACAATAAATTTGCGAAATATAGAATGTTAAAACACCAGCTTACGATATCGGGATAAATGCCAACAAGAGAGTCCGCCCTCGAATAAAATTCTTCTTTGAGCGAGATGACAATAACTTGGGCACGAGTCCGGGAATACTCGCGAATGAAGGAGGCTACTTTACCAATATTGGTGTTATCCAGGGCAGCATCAATTTCGTCAAGTACGAAGAACGGCGAAGGGTTGTACTGGTGCATGGCAAAGGAGAGTGCCAATGCAGCAATAGTCTTTTCACCACCTGAAAGGGAATCCATCTGCTGAAAGCGTTTGCCTGGAGCTACACATTGGAATTGGAGTTCTTCCAAATAGGGTTCTTCGGCATTAGTGGGTAGAAGACTTGCCTACAGGAAGATAAATTTTGAAAAACCGTGAAACTTCCGTTACAGTTCAAGAGAATAATCTTTTATTTTTCCACAATACGTGGCCTAAATAGGCATCCACTATACAACAAAGCACGATGGAATGAAAGGAAATAAATCAATAATAGTAAGAGTAGAACGATCAACACAGAAATACTAGGTGATACGAAAATGAAAGAAAGCATTAACCACTACTAATTTCGGTTAGTAGTATATTACAAAAAGCATCACAGCAAACAACTGGAGACAAATCTTACCTGGGCTCCAGGGTTTCGAGATAGTGACTTATATAGCGGATCAATATTTTCAGCAATTGAGAGAAAGCATTTATTGAACGCCGCGTACCTCAACCTTCTGATACGCTCAAATTGAGCCCTAGCTTTCTTGGCCTTACGTCTCGTTTCCTCGAATTCCGCCTCTGTGGTGCGCAAACGCTGTTCCACGTTTCCTAACTTTGCACTAGCCTTCAAGTTTGGTGCTTGGAAACGTGACAACTCATTTTGCATCCGCTCCACCTCCGAATGCATCTCATCAGCCTTCCTAACAACCTCCTTATCATCGGCAATCATTCGAAGTGGCTTTTCGAGTTGTTTATAGTCAAGTGGAAGTCGTGCTTCCATAGCATAGAGGCGCATCATTTCCTCTGAGTTAAGATCGGCGCCCTCACTTTCTGCCGAAAGTTGGCTTTCCAACTCGGGCATTGAACTAGCACCAGGTTTTAACGGTAGTTGCAGGTCTTCCATCTATACGAAAAGCGAAAAATTGAAATACCGACAATAACACTGAAATCGATTTAAGGAGATATTCGAAACTCACCTTAGCAGATTGGAGGAGAGAATGACGTTCGGAGCGTTTGGATTCAAGTCGCGCCTCGATTTGACTTAGTTCCTTTTGGAGTTTCTGGAGCTCCCGCTTGCGCGAAACCAAACGACGACTGAGTTCAGCTAATTCGGCGTCCATTTGTTCGCTCTTTTGCTGGTATTCACCCAATTGGAACTCAAGATTGCTCTTCTTCATCTCTTCCGCTTCCATCTCTTCTTTGAGACGTTTCTCTTGCTTTCTACAACGTTCCATCTCCTGGCGTTCACTTGCTACGGCCTCTTCCCAACGCTTCACAGCGTCTTTGGAAAAGATCAAAAAGATAATATGAAGATAGCAACGAATCAATTTAGTTTTTTATCCAATTAGCAGTATTTTCCTTAAATATAATTTTATGGGTGCATTTTTAATTGGCATTACTGCTGCAAGTGGCGGAAGGAATAAATTGGTTCACTGATACGAAATCGTACGACGGTTCGGGTTGTTTTTTCGTATTTTGCTGTTGTCGGATTGTATTTGAAAATAGTGCAAGTTCCTAGGTAATTTCTTAGTAAACAAATAGAGAACAGTTCGAGAAAAGGCAATACAAAACATTAGGGGAAATGAGGGTTTTATGGAAGCTTTCAATGTAGTAACCTCTTATTTGGGAGATTTAACCATCGCCGAAGAAAAACAAGAGAATGAGTGTGACAATAAATACTTTAATTCCATTACTTGGTAACAAAAGTGCTTTTCAATGCCCATCAAGGTTATAGAGACCCTAAAGGCGAAAATCCACTTCATTCTACCAGACTTAAAAGTTCAGTTGACCATTCTTCCCACCACGTGCGCCAACGAACGGTGGAACTTGCGAATCCCGGCTACGAGAATAGGGCTACCTATTTATTTTATTTATAAAGTTTGTTCTTAAATGTTGTGAGAAGAACTACTTGAAATAACAAGCAAGTGCAAGTTTTACATATAAAAACTATTACCTAATGTATCGCGGGACTTCTCGTATTCCAGTTGATTATTGATTCGTTGAAGTTGGCTGGTAAACTCCATACGTTTTTGATCGCGTTCGCGAGCAATACGTAACTCACGGTCTTCGTATTCCCTAAAATACGACAAAAAGGAACGGTTAACACCACATAGGCTTTCGGGAAGGTGATAAGTACTTTTAGCCCTTCATTCAGAGCAGAAACATGTAATTGCAGGTCCAGAAAATCACTTGAATCACCATTACATACAAATCAACCTCAACTGACTCCATAGAAACCATTAAGGCAAATGAGCGAAGTTGAAGGAACTGAGAGACTGAATACGAGTCAAAAGGACTCGGGAACGTTGAAAGAAACGAGACTTCCATCTGTTAGAGCCAAAAGTTCATCCCTAGGCATAAGTAACATGTCAAGCAATCGAAACGGATGTAATCGTGAAAAACCGAATGGAAAATGAATCGAAAATCGACCACCTTCGCTTCTATCAGAAGATGAACAGGTACAACCATGTTCCTTTGCACGGAAACAAAGTAGTTTACATTTCGGCAACCCCGGATTCGAATATGTCAAGAGTCAAATAAAAGGGAACTGTAACCAGGTTTTGAAAATGCTTCAATACAGAGGTAGCTTTGTTGAAAGGCGAGCCTGAGTTGCATTCCCGAATAGGAGAAGATAGCAGAAATGGCCAAAGTCAGACATTCATGTAAATTATCATTACAATTAGCAGGATTTCTCTGGAAATATATCGAAAATCCCCCAAAAACGGCAAACCCAGTTAAAAATCCTGTTGGTAGAGACATTTCATCTAATACGTCGAGATCCCGCCTTAAACAAAAACGAATTTCGAAATAAACCCATTCAACTCGGCGTATACACTACTTAGTGTGTTATTTCTACCAGAGCTTACAGGCCGGCAATGCTTACTTGAACTTTCAGCTGCCTCACACTCACCTTGTTAAAACTATAAGACTTTTATAGTTCTCCTTTCACACGTCATTTGTCGGACTTTCTGCATCCCGCAATTAAAATTGAAGTAATGCGACTCATAATGACTAGATAAACCTAAAGTTGGCATAACAGGAGACATAAATTAGGTAAGTGACAATTACTCTTAGCGGAATTTGATCATTGGTGAACATAATCTCTCTTCCTGCAATAATAAAGTTCGTTCATTTGTCTAACTATATGACGACCATGAATCGTCGTAGAAATCAAAAGTATATATCTTAAACATCTCCATTAGCACACGTATTCATTTACATTGAAAATGCCACCTTTGGCTTGACAACCCCCTATTAGCAGGGTCTGAGTAGAAGAAAAAGAGAAAACTTACCGAATGTTCTCCACACCAATGCTGACACAGAAGTCATGAAGTACCGTATCCTCAACCGTGTCCATCTTGGCTTTTTCAGCATTGATAGAAATTTCCAACTCCTGCATTTTTGTTTGGCACATACCCAGTCTCTCCTATAAAAACGCAAAGAACCCAATAATTAAAACGAAATGAAATTGGAAAAAAAAGGATTTAAAATTGAAAATAGCAAATTTACATTCACTTCTTCCAAGTTGGCTCTCAAGTTGTTGACTTCCTCCTCATTTCCACTAAGAATCTTTTCCTCCTACAAGGCAAAACAGAGGTAAAAATGGAAATAAAAATGTGGAAGGATGAAAGAAGAGAACTTGGGAGCTGGTAAATAGTAAAATAGCAACGAAAAGGAACATCAAAAACCCAAAACTGGTAAAAAATGGAACAAACTAACCTTGTCCTGAAGAGTAGGGCAGTTCTTAAACCAAGTACGAGTTAAGGTCAATAATGATTTCCAAGCTGGTTTAGCCCTCTTCCTATTGGCTTATTTAACCAATGCGGATATATACCGACAGGAACTGATCTCTTGACTACTGATTTGTCAAGTGCTTATGTAAAGCGCTATGCTATTGGCGAATATTAAGGAAAATTTTCTCAATATTTAACCAAAATAGAAGGAAGGTAGTTTAGAGCTGTCCTAATAAAATACGCATATTCTACCATCCAAGAAACAACAAGTGGAATTGATCACCTATATCCGTGGATGCGCACTGATGAGCATCGAGCTAGTTATTTTTTACTTAAAAGACGCGTACATTGACCACTATGACGGTGGAAAGTACTTTTTAAGTTTCTGGAGCTTCTTAATTCGAGAAAGGTCCCGTCATTTGAAACTCTTCGAATAATTAAGATTGACCAATGGTGACGATATTATTTCCATTTAACCAAACATAGATAGTTGGTTACGATTTTCAAATTAGCAAGAAATTGTAAAAAGCAACATAAATCGATTCAAATTAAAATCGATCCAATAGGTTAATTGTATGAGCGGCTCGCTATATAAATGTAAAGTTTAGTCAATAAATTGAAAAGACTCCCAGTCACATCTAAAGTACTCAAAGAGTGGTGTGGATACGAGACCAATATGCATGAATTTAGGAGAAGCGTATTAAAAATAACCGTGGAAAGCATACAGTGCTGTCCTTGTCCTTTTGTGTATACTTGAGCCGTTTCTCAAGGCCGTTGATTTGTGATTGAAGAGTTCGCAGTTCAGCCTCTTTTCGCTTGCGTTTCAGTTGTTCCTTCAACTCCGTCTGCAGAGCATCACGTCTAGACATTAGGGAACTGATCTGCTTCTCATCCCATCTCTTAGCCCTAGCCTTCAGATCGCTAAGAGAAGTAATAAAAGTGTATGTTAAAGGACAAGAAATAGTAACATTACAAAAAAAACACGAAAAAAACATCCGAGAAGAATCTGGGATAGATCCGTTTAAATCATTAAGGCCATCTATATATGAGACTAAAATGGATAACTGAGGTGAGCATTTAACTTTCTAAACCCGTTATGACGCAGCAGGAGAGAAATCATCCCGAAACCGCCATTAAAGGTTAAACACATTCTATGACCCCAACTTCTTTGATCAGACATAATCATAATCCATACTATCAGCGAGTACCAAAATAGTGATTCCTAATCTGCCATAAATGCATGTTGACCACTGTACCACTATCGGATGCGTGTAGCACTGGTGGCGTAATAATTAGGGAGAACTCATGATGCACGCAGAGTGATTGGAAAGGGTAATCCCGCACTGGTTATCAAAATGGTGAAAAAATTCGAGTTTATAACAAAAACTGAAAACGCTTTCCTACATGTTCGACAAATTTATTAAAAGCGACTTTCACATATAAAAATAATGAGAATAAAAGCATGTAGAATTTAAAATCTAGACAGAAGTAACAATAATAAAATGCCCACAAGTCTCAAGAAAAATAACCATTACAGAGTTGGAGCTTACCTTGCACCACCAGAAATGACACCAGACCTTTGGAATAGAGTTCCATCCAGAGAAACAGTCTATTCAACAGAAATAAAAGAATAAAGACAAATCTAGGTTGGAATTGATTGGAATGTAAAACTCGTGTTCTGTATCGAGTAGTATCAAATAGTACAATAGGTCGTTTGAAGTAACTGATGCACAAATGAGCATCGATCTCGTAATCTCCAAATCAATTTCCCATAAAACTCGCACTCACCTTCTTACGTTCACCCATATTGTAGGCAACATAACGTGCGTGTTCAACGGTGTCGCAGACCAGAGCGTTGCCGCAAGCGAATTGAAGAGCCTTCTTAGCAGTCACGGGGTCGCAGTTGATCACATCAATCACCAGGTGCACATTCGGTGGATCGTTTATTTCACTGTGTTAAAATGAAAGTAAAAAGTTACCAACTTTAGATAATTAATTGATCAAAAATACGTTCTATCAGTAAAATGGTACTTTCATTTCGAAAAGTTAGCATCACCGATTTGTGCTCCTTTGACGCCTTCTCCAAACCTCTACGTTGTGCGTGAAATGTATGGACTCGGCTTAACTGAAATCATGCCAATTTTAATGTAACCTGATCTGACACAAATCTGGGGTTAGTGTAATTACAACTGTAGTTGCTAATTTATACCGCAAATTCGAAAGGTATATTGGCTATTCCCCTTTGTACCTCAAGTTCTTGCTATCAGAAGTACACATTATTTTGTTTAAACGCCCTGTTTTGTGGTAAAATCATTTGATTTTAAATGACTGAGTCCAACATATCATAATGCTTTCCGTTTAAGAATATAACTCTTCAAGTTCTCAAAGAATGTGCTAAAGCACTGCTAGATCAGTCGATGAGTATCTAACTGTCGTGACAATAGACAAGGCAAATCTATAAGTTGAGTTTCAATTCAGGAATAGGAGAAAAAAAAATTAAATAGGACTTTTGAAATTGCAAAATCTCGTAAGCATTCACAAAACCAAACCGAAAGATACGAATCTTCACAACTTGCCTTTTAGAGAATAATTTACCACCACTTCTATTTCTGCCACCCGTTAGTGTTCACCATTCCTGCTCTTAAAAAATGCACATTTAGATAACTTGTATTGTGAAGTTGAAGAAATTAGCCAACGACTCAACGAATCCAGGTTTAAGAACTTCACAATGAAAACTGCTAGATATCAATTTGCCCTAGCTAAAGTGGTCGTTCCTAAGAGAGCTACGTAGCTTGGCTGCTCATCTTATTCATTCAAAATTGGATAAAATGGCTAGAACCGAACCACTGGAAGAACGTGAGAGAAACTTAAAAAAACTGAATAATAGACTGATATGTATCTTAAGCCATGAAAATATCAATAAGCCTACGCGTAACGCAAAGAGAAGGGAAAACATTGAATCCCACTAGCAGAAATACACCTTTTCGATCATTCAAATGAGGATAGCAATAAAGAATGGCTCGAAATAGCACTCACCGCAATTTCTCATCCACTGGTTGAACATCAAGGAAGTCCAGCGGGAGGAAGGTTTCCGGTTCAATACGCTGATCCTTCATATATTGAATACAATCTTTCGCGGTCTTCTCACTATCACAGACAATACTGTCCATGTGTTTGCCAAGAACTTTGGTAATTGCAATTTGATAGCGTTTATGCGAAGGTTCGCACATTTCTAAGAGACGACCTTGCTAAAAATGATGAATATAAGAGAAATTAGAAAGCTTAAAATAGATGGAGAAGTAACAAAGGGATATGATAGCTTACCACGCCGGGAAATAGACGCTTCAAGTTTTCAATAAGCTCCTGTTTTCTAACAGCACGAGAGGATTCATGTCGTTCCACCTTGGCCTCTCCCAGTTGACAGATAACGCTCTCCAATTCAGCATTAATTTCATCGATGCGTCTTGTCGCATTCTCTACTTCCTCTCTAATCGTCCTTTCAGTCTCAGAGAGCTCAGATATTGACTTATTGCTATTTCTTTAAACAGGTAAGCAAACCATAACGTGCCAATTAGAAAATGCAAAAGTTAGACTTTTAGTAAAGTATGTTAACGAACTCGATAAATTCAACAAGTCGTTGAAGACGTCTTTGGTTATCACTGAGTTCTGTTTGCTTGAGGCGAAGAGAATTCTCAATCTCTTCCTTACGACGTTCCAAACTATCGAAGAGGTCTTTCTGCTCATCGTACTCTCGTCTAAGCGCATCGAGTTGAGCTGATATATCAGAAGTGTGTTCAGCGGCCTTCTGTTTCAAGCGATGATATTCGGCTAGCTAAGGGAGGGATATAATAAATAATCATTAGAGGGACCTTAAAATTCGATTTCCGTGCCTATTCCCGAGCATTTTACACATACATTGATTAGCAACCATGAAAGAGAGCCTTGGTTAAAAAGATCTGCTAAATTTACGAGAATTATTTCAGCTGACTTTAGTAGTTGCGAAAATTAGGTTAAAAGTGAAACCTCAAAAGATTATTGAGGCAAACGGTAGAGAATGACATGATGAAAAATCTAATCTCAACAAATAATTACCATAACATCGAATTAACTGATAACAAATACTAATATTAATGGAAAAAATTATCACCCCCTATAGAATAGAATATATCTTACATACTAACCCAAATTCACCTCATATTGAAATCATTCCAGTAAGATAAGCTGATAATGCCTAAATGCAGATATATATCTGTCAATATCGAACTTCGTGATCACTTAAGGGATGTTAACGTATATTCTATATTGTGTTCCGCCAACCTTTCACAAGAATGTTTGGATCACAAGGTTTGGACATAATCTTTTGGGTATTGGAAATCATGACTTCCGACTTTGCAGACGTCCACATTCACTGATACGACACTAAGCAATAATATAAACCAACCTGAGAATCCTCCAATTCAAGAGAACGGCCTTGCTCCTTGCTCTTTTTGTTCTGTTGAAGCTCATACTCCTCTTTAAGAGCCTGAACACGGTCATAGTCGGCTTCAAGTTGTTCCATTTCTTGTCGATGACTACTATGTTGCTGGCGTGCGTTCTCCAAGGCTTTTCTATAGAGAAATTTAGTAAATGACAAAAAGATCTTACTTTGATTCCTTGTGCTTATCACTAACGTGGCGCAACATCTGAGAAACCTTGATATATTCCGGCTTTCTCTTCGACACTTTTTGGTCCTAAAACGAACGTGAAAAATGTTAATATTTTGAAAGCACCATTACTAAGGCAAGTTAGAGAAAGAGGCTTACGCATTTCTTAATTTCTTGTTCGAGGGATGACTGATCGCGATTCAATTTACCCAATTCACGACGTTTTTCGCGAATTTCTTCCTCAATTTTCACTCGAGCAGCATTCTCCTGCTCGACCACTTCTTCACGCTGCTGCAAATCTTCTCTTATGCGTTTAATATCCACATCATTATAATACAACTTGAAAAGTTGCAACTCCGTTCTTTTGGACATCTAGAAGAAGTATAAGGAGAGAATTTAAATTCATACCCATCTGCTGTGCAATTTTTTGTACTTTTCCGCCTCATCAATCTCAATACGAGCCTCTTTACGTTCTGCAACAATATTCTTCTTTTTGTTTAAATTGAAAGTAGCTTCCTCTTCCAGTTTCTGCATTTCGGCTTTCGACCTGTCATACTCCTCCTTGTACTCAGCAGATCGACTAATTTCCTCAAACATTTGGCAACGTTCTCGGGCATTCTTCATAGCAATACTTTCAACAGCACCTTGGAAAATCAAAAAATTCTTCACTTTCATAAAGATATGAATCTTCTCCAGTGCTGCGCCATATTCCTCCACTTTGACAGGCTAAACAAGGCATGTAAAATAATCAATCAGTAAGCTTACTGTTCCGTCAATGCGATATTCAGATGTGTTACCGCTAATGTAGCGACTAAACCGTCGTTCAGTTCCGTTTGGCATCTGATAAACAGCTGTAACAGAAGCGGTCTTTGATACAGGTTTTCCGACAACAGATCCATGAATAAGATCCTAAGATGGTAATTTACTTTGAATCCACTTACGCTCAATTTTGTCACTCGCAGATGACGAGTTCTTTCACCAAGGACAAAGCTAATAGCATCCATAAGATTTGATTTACCTAAGAAATACATCGAAATCACTTTCGCTTACCGGATCCATTTGGTCCAATTACTGCTGTAAAAGAACTAAATGGACCGATCACTTGTTTTCCTTTGTATGACTTGTAATTATCAAGTTCTATATATTTCAGGTGACCGCACTTCTCTTCCATCATTATTTTTGATGGTGTGTAAACTCCTATGCCAAATTAAAACAAAATTATTTTGACACAAAATTTTCTTAGCAAATTAAATTTATTTAATTAAAAAATTTATATTATTTCATGTAAATATTATTATAGAGGTGTGCGATATTTGCCTTTCTGGATCGCCCAATGAAATGAGTCGGGTTGTGTATTAAACTTCGACCTCTGGGAGATCAAGCATTTGCCAGTGATGCACTGCCCGCTGCGTAGTGTCGTGTTGTTTGCCTCAGGAGTATCATTCTACTATATCTTTGGAGTTATTCAAGGCTTTCGGAGTGGGATATTTACGGAGGGTTTTAGTAAATCCCTTTTGCTCACTGGTTCCGGTATCCCATACTGTTGTGGCTTTTTATCAGGTGGGAAATGAATAACTCATTAATTATTGTATTTTATAGTTCTTTGTGGGCTTTTATCTCCACGTCTTTACCGGCATTTAGAAATTTCCAGCGCTCGGGAAGCCGAATGGAGTTCAATTATGCGCTGTGTTATCTTCTTCATGGGAGTTTGTCATGCATCCGCTAAACTTGAAATCGTGTCCATATCGCAACTCTTTTTAACAAGCTTTTGTTTTTCAATTGGCATTTGGTGGATCTTTGACCGTTCTATTAGTGGATTACTAATGGGTTTTCTAATGGGAGCTCTCGGAACTGGCAGCTGTCTATGGCTTGGAGACAAAAAGATCACGTATGAAGTCTTACTTTATCTTATTCTGCCTTCTAGATCCATCGATCCACTTTTGACTTCCTGGCTACCCTGTGTTTTCTTCTCCGGAGGTATCACGGCATCATTAGTCGGTCGACAGTTAGCTAAACGTGACACTTTTGGAAGTTCCAAGCTTAAATCGGACTAACTACGTTCTTTATCAGTGCTATGGCCTTTCCCAGTCCTGCATTTCCGATTTTATTTCACGCTATTGCCTTATCAGTGGCCAGTGGGCCTCCCTCAATCTGAAAAATCAGCACTGTATAACCTTGCTTCGCCTTTTACGGCGTATAACCATTCTCTTGGCTTTGTATAAACTTATTTTAGTTATATTCTCATCACATGGACTTGTAAATACATTATTGACTGCTTGATTTACTTGCTTCTCTGAGTTACTGAAAAGGCACGGGCAAATGCCCCACTTGCACTTGAGATCATACGATTTTAAGGCCCATGTCTGATCCGATCTGGCACAGTCGTTGACTTTTTTATCGCCGTTTAAGCATTTTCTGGTTTTATTTGCCCAATTATTATCGCTATATTTTACTTGAATCACTATTGATTTGTGATTATTTGTACACTGTCTAACTCCATTGAAAGCTCTGTAAAATTCCATATTATCAATGATGGAATTGTGTGGAAGTTATCCAATTATCCACACAGGTTGTGTGAACCCCCAATGCAGGTAAAACCCATATAAGCGTTTCCACAATTACTCATCAGTTAGTGTTTGTTATCCCTCGCACCGTTTGTGATGTTGACTTGACTCAGAATGAATTATTGTGGCACAATGGCTGCTGGAGATCACTTAAGTTTTAAGAGCAAGAAAATGCGCAATGGGATTGGCTAATGTAGCCAATGAATGTCAAGAGGTGAAATAAATCGGAATCGAAGACCTTAATTACAATGATTATTATTTGATTTAACAAGAGGCACCGAGTGCAGCATTTTTTGAGTTATCTTTCGTGAAATCCATGTTTGCGCTGTTTTATTGCCATCAAGTTATCTTTTTCAAGCACTGTTATCTATAGGGTGCCCCTTAAGCTGTGTAGAAACTTGTTACAAATGTTAATTTACCATTCCTGACTAGTAAACAATCACTTACACGAGAAAAATAGCTTTTTTAGTACACAATACTTAACTCGTGTGACCTATCTGCTTAACTTTCCATTTATACTGATACTGCACTTATATTTTTAGCTGGAAGAGAATTCGGTACTTCCATATATTTTTTGGATGAAATTCGTCATTGTTGTTGCATGTGTTAATTAAAAAAGGTTGCCAAATGTAAATGAAATGGTTAACCATATCATTGATTATCTATTCGCCTTTTATTTTCATTTCAAATACTTCTCCATCTCAAGATTTAAATTTCCTGAAAAGCTTATAAACCGTTAGGTTACTGAAAGTATAAGGATTAACTAGAGCAAATTCAGTCAGTGATTAAGATTGTCATAGGTACTGAATATTGACCGTTAATTCTCTGCCTCACAGATGTCTCATTCACTAATTTAACTTGCTTAATGAAAGGCTTTTCATTCGAGACTCGAAAATGACAGAAGGATGATCGCATTTCGTTACTCGTCCACAAAGCCACAGTAATGCCTTAATACCCCAATAACTCAAACCCATGTCCATTCTTCATCTGCATCCAAAGAGACTCTTGTACACAGCCTTTATTTCCCCTCGAGGACACATGTAGACACCCTTGTCACTTATCTGCTCCTCCGTTTCGCTTTAGCCTACTCTTTTGTTCTTTCAAATCCTCTTTGTACGCAGTTTTTTGGAATCGTTTGCTTGCTGTTTTAGCTACTAGGTCTGGTTTTGGTTCATTCGTTCCTTCATTTTGGTGGTTTAATAAATTTGTGACTACAGTTCTTGCTACTGATACTCCAGCACGGCAAATTTGTACAGTTCTTCAATGGCCTCCGCTATTCTCGAATGTAGAAACGATCTGCCCCATAGCTTTCCATTATAATTCACAGTGTTACAATAAAACATGTTTTTTTTTCAATTGTGTGAAGCAATTGAAGTCGCTTAACAATATGTCCAGTAAACGATAATGTGAAGGGTATTGAAACGACACTGAGATCAACATCCAAGTACTAGGCACTTACTTAATTTGAAACATTGTTGCCAAATGGGTAATTCACTTTTGAAATGTCATGATTCGTGCCATGGATAGAACCCAAATGCTTACTCATGAAGTTAAGTGCTTTTAACTGCTTTCTTTATTCATGAAGGTTTGGTGCTAACACTTAAGATCACTTTCTTCCTTGTATTAGATGAGATGATGAAGGATTTAGGATGATTTTCAACAACTTACACACTTTTTGTGTAGATGAAATATGATGGCTACACTCGTTGGGTTCACTTAAAGTGACCAACTGCTCATGGTTCTTAGTCCACTTCTTAGCTAAAAGTGCACACTACCCAGAGAGGGGACCTGCTTAACAGGATTCCATCTTAAAGTATATTTTTTGGGCAGATAAATAGGATATACTTGATGGCAGAGAAAAGGCTATAGTATTCAGGGTACCTTTATTCAAAGGGTGCTCACAATGTGATCAGATCTGCAGGCCTTGATACTACACTCACCTCTCACAGCTTTGCACTGAACTGAGTCTCACAATAAGTATCAAGTTTCCAGTTCTGTCTAATTAAATAAATGTGTCGCCATAATGTCGCATGATCCTCCTACATCCCCTTAGAAGGGTATGAGTTATGATCCCAGCTGCTTAAATTGATGGAGTGATTATCAGAGAAAATATGCAAGTTGAAGCATGAAAAAGGAATGATTTAGTTAGGCAATCGTAGCATTTATTTTTGGTTTCTTTAAGCGGCGCACTTTTCCAGGTACATATGCACTCACAAATAGGCTGAATTAGCGGACGTGAATGATCTGATTATCGTTTTAATTTTTATTAAATCATCGTGGTAGTGTTCTCATTAAAATCAGCTAATTTCCGTGAGAAGGCAAATGCTACTAAACTGCAGAACATCGATTTTAGACTTCCCTCCTAAACTCCAGTAAAATGCATTAAAAGTCTTTAGGGGAATATTAATTGCCAGTGTTTATGTTGCGTTGTTTGTGACTACTTAAGAATGTAGGCTACTTTCCACCGACTAAAGAAAAAAGTTAACTTTTACATTAAAAACCATTTTGAGGAAAAATTATATCAACACACTCATACAGTTAAGCGAGTGAATTGTTAGATGTAAGACCGTGAATTATAGGAGAGATCTACTAGTTTAGGGCTTTTCTCCTGCCCAATTTTAAATGCCAGGGTTTCTTTCAATGTGATGAGTATTTAGCTTATAGCCAATCGAAAAATTTGCAAAGCACGCAAAGCTCTTTATTTTCTTCTTAATATGAGATTCTATTCAAATGTTTACTACCGATCATGGGGAGAAATATGACCTTGAATAGATAATTCTTAAAGTCTACTCGCCATTTCTTACTGATTTACCAAATACTCTTTTCGATTGTAAAAACACTCCGAGCGCAATCTGTTCTCTCTATCACTTTAAAGCATTGCCTACATATAAAAATGGATTATGCTATTATTAGTTAAACAGGTCAAGGTTTCGTGGAAATGAGTTGATTTTCGCCATTAACAATCCCACACCTTGAAAGTTGAATTGAATTCCTAAGGCATTTCATAAAAGTCTCATTGTTAACGGCGGGGTAGTGGATACTATATCTTGATGAATGTCGGTATAGGCACCTTCATCTTTTGTAAGAGACTTGAAACATAACAAAACGGGCAGATGTTGAACCGCAATACAGTAAAAATCTGTATTTTGTAGAAGCCGGCTAGAGGCTCTCATTGAAAGGCTGTAGAAAAAATGGATATACCCAAATGGCATACTTGCTATAATTTGTTAATCGATTTACATATCTGTTCTGTATCCTAGTCTTAAGATGGCAATTAGCACCACCAAATTATTACACGTCCTTGATGTATACAATGTGAATTTCGTCGAAGCGTCTGAGTACGCACTTTTCGAAGATTTAATTTCAGATTTCAATCCAATTATGACTTAATTGTACTAAGTTAATAAACATGGCCCAACATAGTGTCAACTTTCAGAATATCAAAGGTAAGTAGTCTTATCAGCATGTTGTAGAGTGATAAGCATAAATAAGAAATATATTTCACATTAAAATAGGGCGAAATTGGGACCTATTTTGAATTTTCTGTCAATCATCATTAACAACGTAAACCAGATATCGTGGTGTGATATTTGACCTTGGTAGAGTTATCAGAGCATCGTAAGTTGCCAATCACAAATAATAATAAATAATAACAGTAAAAATAATAACAAATGACCTCGATTTTACACAGTCGATCTGTTTCTTGCTGAATTTTGCTTTTTTGGCAAAATGTCTATCACGCTTTTATTTCACAATTTGTTTCGCGTTAAAGACTATTGCCATAAAAGTTACTGCGACAAAAACAAAACATCCCTTTAACCTGATAATTGGAAGGAAGGTGCCTTGGTTATCTCTTACAATGCAATCATAAAATAATCCAAGGTTAACTCTATTCTTTAGCTCAGAATAGTACAAGTGTATCAGAACTACTCATATTAATAAAAATGTTAAGTTTTAATTATTGGGAGCAACTGACATCTAATAACAACGGGAGGAGCTTTCAATGGGTTTCGCTTTCTTTGTTTCTCTGAAACTGAGTTGTACAGAGTCTAAAAATTAACATCTCACGTTAGAAGACTAATTGCACTATTTCTCCCCTTAGATTGCAGTAACTGACCGGCTACGTTGTTTAACACTTATAGATTACTATCTGTGAAACAGTAAATATTCGAATAGCCTCCTGTGGGACACGTTGTCACTCTGTGCGCCATCGTATGCTTGCATGTCTGCTCGCCAGGATTGAGAGGTGCGGCCGTACAACTCTGTGTGCAGCGACCGTACAAACAGTGACCAAACATCAACCTCTGTTTAACCTAATCCCCCATCCTGATCATGAGTAGCTCCATGCGTGTACACTTTATCCGCAACGTACCCGTACTGAATAAACGTGCTTCGTGCTACACGTCTGTTTCCTTTATAGGTGGGCTATAGCTTAGCTAGTTCTGGGAGTCTAGCTAGATGTAGGAGAATTTGCCATAGAGATTTCTGAG